CAACACACCAACCAACCAACCCATTGTGAAATACGTACAAGTTTGTGAATCTCCGTAATGCACAAATGAATGATACTATTCAGTGGCGACATTTTATCCCATTGTGAAGTACATAAATGTTGGTTTATCTTCTCAATGGACAAGTGAATGAAAAAATAAATAATTGCAACAGTATATCCAATTGGGAAATGCATAAATGCCGAATTATCTCCTAAAGTGGACACCTGAATAGTAAAATTTAAATGGCTACATTTAATCCCATTGAGAAATACATAAATGCCGCTTCATCTCTCCAACGGACACATTACTTGTAAATGTTAATGGTAACCATATATTCTTTCGTGAAGTACATAAACGTTGGTTTATCCCCCTAATGGACAAATGAATGATTAATTTCAGTGGGTACAGTATGCGTCATGGGGAATTACATAAACGTTGGTGTATTTCCTTCACATCTATAAAAGTCAACGCAAGAGAATAACGAGTCTCGAATAAACGAAAAAGATTCCATTGTGCGTAACAGGCAAAATAGCGTCAAATTATGAATGGATCACTGAAAATCAGTGATGACACCAGCTGTTCGCGAAGAGGGTAATCTTGCCTTGGCTACCAGTAGCACCCTCCACTCACACAATTTGAATGAAAATGCAATCTTTTGTTTGTTGTTTGTTTGTTTGTTTGTTGTTTAACGCCGCACTCAGCAATATTCCAGCTATATGACGGCGCTCTGTAAAATAATCGAGTCTGGACCAGACAATCCAGTGAATGACATCATGAGCATCGATCCACGCGATTGGGATTGATGACATGTATCAACCAAGTCAGCGAGCCTGACCACCCGATCCCGGTAGTCGCCTTTTACGACAAGCGCTGTCGCCCTTTTACGACAAGCATAGTCTTTGTTTGTTGGTCAGGAACTCAACAGCACTCCTGCCATGCGTCGGCAGCCTCTAAACAAACCAGACAGTCAGGTGATGGACCAGAAAAGCAAGGGACACAATAGCGCATCTTCTGATATTGTTGAAAGTAAAAAACTTGTTACTTTTGAATTACGTCTGCTGTGTACGAGTGCAGAGACCTTTTTGCTAAAAAGAAAAGCGACAACGTTTAAAAAATATGTTCTATTTGAAACACAGTGGGGAACAGTTTTAATGTCTCGGCCAAAACATTTCTTTTGTTGCTGAATCAGCATAACTGATAAATACCGCTGAGCCGATGATAAAACTCGGGAACTGCAGTCAACCAGCAGAAACATCGATCCAGATGAGCAAACGAATTAAGAAATGAATGCCTACAATTATCACATCCTGACATAAATAAGTTTTGGACAAATGCTAGTTTATTTCTTTGAGAAAGAAATGAATGAAATAATGTGTGGTTACAATGTATCCAATCGCCAAATACATACACATCTCACTCATGAACAAATGAATGAAGCAGTGAATGCCTCACTTATCACCCGTCACAAACACATGCAAAGACAGGTCAATTGTTCATACAAAAACACGGAAACACAGGTACAAGTCAAAATATCTGAGATCGCTTATGACACTGATGACTCACATTTGGAAATGTCTCCCACATATCTCCCATAAAAAGTTTCGAAAGTTACTAAGGCCTTGAATGTCGTAACACTTACCAAATCAAATAACTTCTGAGCAAGGGTCGTATGACGTGCTTCGAAAACTTCGTAGAACATTCACCAGAATAATTAAATACATCAAGTAAATACACACGTCCAGACCATCCAAAGAAAACAAAATAAAATTTATCTTCATACTCTATTTTATGCAAACTCAAAAAACGTTTCCACAATTTTCTTGTCGACACTCCACGGAGAAAGCTGTCGTCACAGTCATCATTCCACCGTTTCCACGGGACAGCCATTACCTGTGTGTGTGGATCCGGTGCTATTAGTGTTTTTACAGATAAACGACGAAGCCTTTTAGTACTGAGGTGGTAGCTATGTTATCTTGTCCCAGCGTAATGAATACTCATGCTGTGTCGATTCCCTGAGATATACGGGTCTTAAGCTAAGGCAACTATTAGCTGTTGCCGTTATCTGGTAAAATACTCATGTGTTTTCTGATTCCAAGGATTTCTCCTCAAAGTTAACAAAATCTTCTATAATCCGATTTCTTTGTTGTTTGCATGTCTAGTTTACCGTCATGTCATCATCATTGAACAACATAACTGTCCCATCAGTATAGTGCATTAGTTTTGGTCATCGAGGCGGTATTTTGGCATGGTATTTAAAATATAGCACGTTTTACAGTTATTACTGTAGGGTTTGACTTTAAGGGAAGCTTGCCAATATAGGCACTCACTGACTCACTCACTGACTCACAGACTCACTGACTCACTGACTCACTCACTGACTCACTCACGCACTCACTCACTCACTCACTCACTCACTCACTCACTCACTCACGCACTCACTCACTCACTTGTATGTTAAAAGAAAAGTAATTTCGTTTTTTTATAGTAATCTCAGTTCATCTGGTGCGTACGGGCGGCCAGTGTATCTATGGCGCCGAAATTCACTGTCCAGAGTTACATCCCTTAGGCGTGTCAGAATCCTATGATCGTGGGTTGGAATTTAAGATTCGCACTGCATATTTGTCTAGGCTTATCAGCAACCTATGGTATATTTGGGATTTCACTTTCTTAGTAAAGTACAAATTCTTGTGGGTGGAGTCCCGTCTAAGATTGGATCCCCTGCACCAGAATGCAGCATTAACACTGATGCAATTTTAACACTGTTCAACGTGTTGGTTACCCTGTCACTTACTCTCTGACCGCCTCCGTCGTCTGGTGGTAGAGCGACCGCGAGGGGAGAAGAAGGTCCGGGGTTCGATCCCTGGCCGCATCATACCAAAGACGTCAAAATATGGCATTATGGCTCGGCATTAAGGGGCTAAAACAAGGACTGGTCGGCTCGGAGTCAGTATACTGTGTCTGAGTGGGGTATTCATGTTAAAGTGCGGCATGGTATCTCACTGAGCTAGCACTATAAATCATCATCGGTCCGGACTAGTACAAGCAGCCTCACACAAACACGTGCATGCACGTCGCTGTATAAGTGCAATAATCTTTGACGCGACGTTAAAACCCATTTCACCTCACCTCATCTTAATTGATGTTACATGTGGTGGTTTCTGGTTTAACGCCGCTTTGAACAGTGGCACATCTATTTATTTACCGTGGGAGTAAAACCCAAAGTGATGCAGGTCTGAGGTACCGGGGATTGTGAAACCGGCCACCAGGAGTGAGTGAGTGAGTATGGTTTTACGCTGCTCTTAGCATTAGTCCACCAATATCAATGCGGGGGGAACCAGAAATAGGCTTCAAACATTATACCCAACAGGGGAATCGAACCCGGGCCTTCGGCGTGACGAGCGAACGCTTTAACCACTAGGCTACCCCATGTGCTCCTGCGACCAAGAGCATGGTGTTGACGGAGGTTAATATTCGGGGCTAAGTTACGACGTGCATCAGAGATGAGCAGATCCTGACAGCTAAGGGGAATAACTCTGCACAGCAACATGTCGAGACGTTTCACCACTGTGATACAAATCGGTGGTCACGGACTAAGATACTCGTAAATGGCGGTCCTCGCACCAGAAGATCCGTACAACAGCTAAGGGGCGTAACTCAAGCAATCATAATACAGACACGAATCACATCGCATAAGCAGAATATATGAGCCTGTCGCCTTTTGGCTAGAATAGTGCTAAAAGCGGTGTATAGCCAAACAGTTCCCCTTCCTTTCAATGCCTCCGTGGTCTAGGGGAAACAGACCCTTGCGGAAAGCGACTCCTGGTCGCGCCAAATCAAAAGACGTTGAGAATGTTTTTTGTTGTTACCCTTCCTGCGCTCGGCATTGCAGGATAAAACAAGTGAGTGAGTGAGTGAATATGGTTTTACGCCGCTTTTAGCAATATTCCAGCAATATAACGGCGGGGAACACCAGAAATGGGCTTCACACATTGTACCCATGTCGGGAATCGAACCCGGGTCTTCGGCGTGACGAGCGAACGCTTTAACCACTAGGCTACCCAACCGCCCAGGGAATAAAACAAGGCCCGTTTAGAGTCAATACACTGTGTCTGAATGGTGTGTCCATGTTATACTATTGCATGGTATCAAAGTAGGCTAGCACTAAAAACAGACATTAATCCAGACTAGTACAAGCAGACATACAAACAAGCACACACAACATATGCGTCGCTGTGTATGTACTATATTCTTGGGGGGCGGTCGGGTAGCCTAGTGGTTAAAGCGTTCGCTCATCACGCCGAAGATCCGGGTTCGATTCCCGACATGGGTACAATATGTGAAGCCCATTTCTGGTGTCCCCCGCCGTGATATTGCTGGAATATTGCTAAAAGCGGCGTAAAACCATACTCACTCACTCACTCACTCACTATATTCTTGAACGCGACGTAAAACTCAATTTCAATTCACGTCATCTTCTCCGTACCAGTCTTTCACATTGACATACAGAGATCAACGTGATGCATGCATCATTCTTATTTCATGTCTTCAACCACAATTCAAAAATGCCCATAATTCCACGAAGTCCTTGCATCCTTACATCGGAAGTATATGGATATATGTGGGGCTTAGAGGCTTAGAGCTATACAAATATAACCACTCCCCTGGATAAAAGGGAAGCATTTGGAGTTCTCTCCCTTATTTATATATGGAAACCTCTCCTGATCATACGTCTAAAAAGTCAAACTCAGCTATACACTGGTACTGAGGTCGTTTTTGGTTTGGTATGACGTATGAGACAGAAGAACATCCAACAAGTATCGATTTGCTCAAAAGTCTTTCAAATCATCATGAAAATATGTGAAGAATTTTCGGTGTTGCACGTTTTAAAAAAATAACGTGGCTTAAAGACTTGCAAGATCTATGGCCGAAACAAAAAGAGTCCATTTTTCAGGTCATATTTGCCTGGCGGTGAACATCAAAGAGACGTGATTCGGGCTTACCTTGAGAAGAGATCGATATTGAAGAAGACATATTCGCCGTTGTCAAAGTTGAGTTGGTGTGCTTTGATCATTATGTCCCTGACGGAGTCGGGCGAAGCACATAGCACAACAACTGTAAAAAATAAACATCATGATAGTATTAGTCGTGATGACACAGATTCAGGGGGATTTATTTGGGCTTTAGTTGTAACATTTCGATTTCAAATTTAAGTTCGCAATAACACTATAAAGTTCGCGATAAACCCACTGTATTTTCAATGCAATCTTCAAAAGAAGACTCGATACAATACATTTTATTCGAACATAAAAATACAGATTTCGAAAGATGGTTTAGACCTTCAAACAGCAAAATAGAGTTGTTTATTTCATTTCTTCAGGACAAATTGATATGATGATGGCGAGTGTTTTTGTTGTACTTTTGTAGCTTCTACGGGCGGGCGCTCTACCGCTAGACAACGGAGGCGGTCCTGTGAATGTGAAAGTCACCAAAGTGATTATGGCCTTTGGCGTATGTCACTCTTGCTGTCATCCTAGATGAAACTGCGGACTATACAACAGAAATACTGTTAAAAGGGACGAAAAGTCTCCAACTCATCTCCTTCATCGTTCTCGGGAGAGAACAACATTGATTTGATTTATCGTGGCTCGACAAGCGTACAACATACTTTTGTATCGAATTTCCTAGGATTGTAAATATGACTTAAATGTATAACACACCAAGCTGTGAGTGCATGTACTGGGGCATCTCCAATATTAATACTAATTCCATAATTCCTTTACAGTATTGATTACGTGTGCTGCTTCAGAGATAAATACGATTCCACTTTCAACAGTCTACTGCATTGTGTACATCTAGAAATTCTTCAAACCAGACTTGCAGACATATGATTAATATACCATTATAGCCATATGTATCATTGCGAGGAGGAACTGTTGCAGAAGGAGAGCAAGTATCGATGATTAACCTTCTCGCGTTCTCACAGGGGCGATGTCAACAGTTTCAAGATGTTTTATTTCTTTTGTTCAAACCGCGCACTTGAAAGATTATTTAAGTTTATTTATTCAGAAATATTATTTTTATGACTCTTAAGACAAATGAGAGAACATGATACTGCTGAATTTTTATTTGGCATAATTTAAAAATATTCATGAATAATTCCATATTGATGTAAAAACTAATAATTCCAGAGCATTTTTATTTGAAGAGTTGTGCCGTTGACTTGCCCAACATAGGGGGACAGTCGCACACTCTTCCTTTCGTAGAGATTTGAGAATGATTCTGAACATGTTATTGTCGCTTTTATTTCATCTACTCGAAAAACAAACTGAGCTCAGGGTCCAGTATTAGAAAGATGCTTACCCAAGTCCCTGCTGCATTCATTGTTGTTATAATTTTTAAAACCTTGAAAGTATTGAAATGATTGAGTGAGTGAGTTGTGTTTAACGCCGCTTTTAACAGTATTCCAGTCATATCACGGCGTGTCAGCTTCATGTGGGAGGAAAGCCCGAAATGATGCAGGTCTCAGACCTTTAACTATTTGGCGAAACCCACGAGCACAGGTATGGTGCTGACAAACCTAGAAACATAATCGGGTCGAACCGGGATTCGAACCCAAAACCATAGGTTTCTGGCGTGCCCAAGGGCACAACTCTACACAGCGACTTTGGGCGCATTTGACGACTGGGCCACCCATCATGAAGAAAGCCATGATTAATAGAGAATCTCCCCCGAGTGTCTTTTGATATCAAATTTATCAACACGAGTTGATAAAAGTGGAACAACTTGTTTCACTTTCCACATTTGCCAACGAGTTTTGATATATTTGATATCAAAAGCATTGTGATGCAATTTTATTGCAGCGATATCTACAATGTAGATATCGCTTGATCTCACTCAAGCGATATCTCCTGTGGGAACCAATACCATGTTTCTCTCATCGGGTGAGTGGGGAAAGGAGATATTTTCCCAAGTGACGTACATGTAGACCCGAATGAAAATATATCCTTTCCCCCGTCACGAGATGAGATAAACATGATATTTAACTCGACACGTGGAATATGCTGTATACTATTATGTATTTTGTATGTAGTCATTGAGACCTCTGTTGGTAGTGAAAGAATACACGCTGGTCAAGTAACCAAAATGGCGCTGTGCGAAACGAACTGTCTCGACTGACAAGTTTAATGAGACATTCAGTTAATAACGAAACATTTTCAAGATACTAAAGCACGACAAGAAGCGATATTAACTCCATAAAAGACCATCTGTCATTATGTTGCCTTGTCACCTAAATAGGAAGTCAACAGTAAGTGTACGGGCCAGACACTTAAGACAAAGGGAGGTCATTGGCGGGGAGATAACTCTTGTAAGACAATAGTTCCGGCAAAGTGCTATGTACACTGCATAGAAATGTCAAGTGTTATGTTCACTGAAATGAAAATATCACTTTCTCAACTTTAGAAAACCCAGTCTTTCACACTGAAATATATAACAAAAGTTCATAACATAATGTCTTTAATTATCCAGCTCATGTAAACCAAACGGGGCTTTATCATACGACGTCGTTTACTTTAAGAGCAAAACACATAACACTACATCAGATGCAACGTGAAATGATGAGTACACGGTTCTCGTAAAGAAATTGACGAAGCCTACGGTGTGAACGATTGATAGTACATATGCTTGGATGCAAGTTGGTTGGTTGGTTTGTTGTTTAACGCCGCACTCAGCAATATTCCAGCTATATGACGGCGGTCTGTAAATAATCGAGTTTTGACCAGACAATCCAGTGATTGATATCATGAGCATCGATCCACGCAATTGGGATCGATGACATGCATCAACCAAGTCAGCGAGCCTGACCACCCGATCCCGTTAGTCGCCTTTTACGACAAGCATCGTCGCCTTTTACGGAAGGGCAAGGACATTAAAAACAACCACATGATATACAGTTATTTCAGTATGAATGCAATATTCCTAACATTCTTACATTATCCAAACCAAGGAGATAACACAAGCTTGGTTGGTTGTTTTACGCCGTACTCAGAAATATTCAAGCTATATGACGGCTCCGTCTGGAACGTTGGGTAAATATCCCCTAACAAAGCTCTCAAAATCAATTTGATATCAAAGAAATATTTTTTTCCAAACTAATTAATAATTCAGTTCATAAAGGTCGAATATTCTTAAATTAATTATCAAAAATAATATATTATAATGCCGTGTCAGCAATCAGTACATATGACATTTTCAGAACAAAATCCCACAATGAAAAGAACTATGTACACGTATTCTATGTATATTGTGTCTACGGAGAGAAATGTCATATTGAACACGATGAATGTCAAATTCGAAATTAACGATAAACAGTATTGAAACAAGTCACAGGAGATTGAACAGTTACATGTGACTCGTGATGCATTGCCATAAGGGAAATGGTATTTATTTGAATTATACATAAGTACATTTTTAAACTAAATGTCACTTGAGTCTAAAAAACTTGATAACGTTATAAAATTAAATTCAACAATGACAGTAACTCGTAATGCAATTTAGTAAGTGAACGATATTCTAATATATTTAAATTTTGCATTTTGTACATAAATGCATATTCCATTATAAAATTGAGGGCTTGTGAAATATTCAACGAAACCTTCACTTTTCAGAAATAACAAAATATACTGCTCAACATTCAACAGAGATACTGAGGTATTAATTTTCTTTCGTTTGTTTGTTTGTTTGTTTGTTGTTGAACGCCGCACTCAGCAATATTCCAGCTATATGACGGCGGTCTGTAAAATAATCGAGTCTGGACCAGACAATCCAGTGATTGATATCATGAGCATCGATCCACGCAATTGGGATCGTTGACATGTATCAACTAAGTCAGCGAGCCTGACCACGCGATCCCGTTAGTCGCCTTATACGACAACAATATATTGAACTGTGAAGGAATATTTATTCATCTCGAAGCTACAAGAGCACCCGTTCCATGGCAGCATTAAATACTATTTTCATTACGACATATCCGAGCAATCAGTCTTTTCAGACCCCAACTGGACACTCCCTCTCACTATCATAAGTAAAGTTGTATATACCCGTGAAGATCCGGGGTAGAAAAGGTCTTCAGCAACCCATGCTTGACATAAAAGGCGACTAACGGGATCGGGTGGTCAGGCTCGCTGACTTAATTGATGCATATCATCGTATCCCAATTGCGTGGATTGATGCTGCGATGTCAATCACTAGATTGTCTGGTCAAGACTCGATTATTTACAGACCGCCGTATGGAATATTGCTGGGTGCAGCGTTCAAAAACAAACAAACAAAAAATATATTCTCAGTTGCATACGATGTATTCGCGGAGCGTTAAAGGATATCTGACGGTGTGTCAATAATGCATAACTTAAATATTCATGATCTATTTGAAATCCTTGTTCATTGTTTCTTTCCTACATAAAGCTGGACCCGACTATGTTTCAAGGTTTGTCAGCACCATACCCGTGCTCCTGGGTTTCACCGAAGTGGTAAACGTCTGAGACCTGTATCGCCTCCTTTTCTCCCACGTCAAGCTGACACGCCGTGATATAACTGGAATACTGTTCAAAGCGGCGTTAAACCCAACTGACTCACTCACTGAGCTTGCGTCGGTTGTTGGTTGGTTTGTTGTTTAACGCCGCACTCAGCAATATTCCAGCTATATGACGGCGCTCTGTAAATAATCGAGTCTTGACCAGACAATCCAGTGATTGATATCATGAGCATCGATCCACGCAATTGGGATCGATGACATGCATCAACCAAGTCAGCGAGCCTGACCACCCGATCCCGTTAGTCGCCTTTTACGACAAGCATAGTCACATTTTACGCCAAGCATGGGTTGCTGAAGACCTATTCTACCTCGGAATCTTCACGCTTGCGTCGGAATGAGTTAAAACATTGTGATGTGTCTTGAAACGACCCCCGAAATCATGTACCCACGGACGGTAATGTGTCTGTACACGACTACACAGAGGAGAAACGGAATTCCTCTCAGCATCCAGACGCAGATTACACACAGTGTACATCGCGAGTTAACATCACTGTCCCTAGCATGGTTATCTGTGCTCAGG